AGGGCCCACATTTAGGTTCAAGCCAACGCTCGAGCGGGAGCCTCGTTTTCAGAGAAAATGTAGCCAGCGTCGAGGCGACAGCGCGCGGAACCGTTTCCGGAGATCAACAGTATGAATTCTTTCGAAATAAGTATTAAACAGCAACAACGACAAGAACAAGAACAAGAACAAAAACAATAACAGCAACAACAACATCATCATCATCATCAGCAGCAGCAGCATCATCATCAGCATCATCCTCATCCTCCTCCTCATCTTCATCCTCATCATCAGCACCCTCATCATCAGCAGCAGCATCATCATCAGCATCAGCATCATCACCATCATCATCATGATCAGTATCATTATCATCATCATCATCATGATCACCATCATCCTCATCATCATCCTCATCATCCTCATCAGTATCATCATCATCACCATCATCATCATCATCATCATCATCATCATCATCATCATCATCATCATCATCATCATCACCACCATCCCTCATCCCTCATCCCTCGTCCCTCATCCCTCCTCCTCCTCATCCTCATCCTCCTCCCCCATCTAGTCTCCTCCTGGTCTCCTCCTCGCTCTACAATGACCCAGTCTGAATCCTGCCGGTTCTCCTCTGCCCTCGGATACCTGCGCGAGCGAGGCGCCGCCTGTTCCAAGGTGGCGTTCACGCTGCAGCGCTGGCCTCACCTCAGCATCGGCGATTTGCTCACGTCGTTCATAATGGCATTGTCCTCCTTCCTCGTCGTTGTCGCCCCCCTCGTTTCCCCTCCTCCGCCTTCACCTGGTCGTCCTGCTTGTCTCGTTTCTCCGATTCCTGTTCCTCCTCCTCCTCCTCCTCCTCCTCCTCCTCCTCCTCCTCCTCCTCCCCCTCCTCCTCCTCCTCCCCCTCCTCCTCCTCATCATCCTGCCGAATCCCCGTGCCGACGCCATTCGTTACTGGGCAAGGGGAAGTTCGCGGGACGCACGGGGCGCCACTGAGAGTTGCCTGAGCCCGAAGAGCACCCCTGAGCAGCCCCCTTCTCCAGCAAGTGGCCGGGCGCGACAGCAGCCCAGGATCCTAGCCTTCACACTCAGGGCAGGCGCGGCCACCCTGAAGAGGCCTTGGGACACACACATAAGTAGACGCAAATAACAGGATTCCCCACATCTTCCTATATCTTCCGGGCTTTTGCCTTCCCCCCCAATCCCCACATTTTCCCCATATTCTCTGTGGAATCGACGACAAATGGTGCCTGTGTGTGTGCTTTTTCCCTCCCGGACACCCCCAGGGAGGCAGGCCCGGCCCACATGGGCCATCCCTGCCGGTGGACCCGGCCCGGGCGGCCACCCCTCGTGCCGGAAGCCAGGGCGCCCGTCCCCGCGCTGCGGGACGGGTTGCGGGCACCCCGCCCTCGCAGGGAGGGCCCCGCTGGGCACAAGAGGAAAAGACCTGCAGGGAAGCGAGCTCTATACATACCGACGCCTTGGCCTGGCCTCTCCCACCGAATCTCGCACAGGAAAGCGGATCCTGGCGCATAGGGGATCCTGGTGTACACGTTCTTCGCTGTGTCCCCAGGAGGACGGGGAAAAAAGTATACACCACACCACCCCGACGTCGTCCCCGACCCTCGAGAAAGTCCTGGGATTGAAAAAAACGCCCGCCACTGGTAATGTATATGCTCCAGTTTCCGAACCTGGCCCGCCTGAGTGGCCGCGAAACGGCCATCCTGCCGTTGCCGGCCGGTGTGGCACTCTCGCCACTGGCGGCAGTCAGCAGGCACCGTGTCCGCCCGGTGCCCGATCAGGCGTTGGCATCCCTTCCTCGCGCCTGATGCCGGGATGCCCATCCGTGTTGAGGGACAGGTGTGGGCATCCCGCACTCGCAATGGGGATTCAGCTGGGCATCCGAGGCGTTTTGGGCCCAGCAGGAACCACCTGGGAGCCCGGGGATGCAAATTGATACCAGGGAGGCCGCAACAAGAGGATTCCCCAAGGATTCCAATTCAAGGTGGCCGATTAGGACCCCGCCAGGAGGGGTGAACGATCTGGTCTTCGCTTGGACGAATGGATGACTAGTATGAGGGGTGACCGATATGGTCCCCGCTTTAGTCGGCAACCGATCAGGTCCCCGCTACAAGGGGCAGCTAAAAAGGTAACCGCTAGAAGCGCTGACCGATGAGGCCCCCGCAGTGGCGGTGACCGGCTAGGTCAGCGCCGTGTCGGCAACAGATCGTGTCCCAGCAGGGAGGAGTGGCCAAATAGGGCAGCGCAATGATGGGCGACCGTTCAGGTCCACGCCATAGGGATGACCGAGTAGAGACTTGAGACCCCGCTGTGCAGACTAGGTGGAGGATGCTCCTACTCCGCAGCCGGCAGACCACGATATCAAGCTAGCTCGGAAGATCTTTCGACGCCGTTCTGCGTTCGAGCTTTGCGTCTCGGCTCGAGTCCAGCCCAGGACGTCGGCAGCCTCCCCCCTTGGGGCACCCGTCGCTGGACGGGCACCGGCAGCATCCGCACCTCGTGCCTGCAGCGCTAGGACGCCCATTCCCAGCCGAAGAACAGACATGGGCCTCCCGTCCTAGCAATGAAGGTTTTGCTCCTCGTCATCCTGCTCCTCCTCCTCCTCCTCCTCCTTCTCGTCCTCCTCCTCCTCCTCCTCCTCCTCCTCCTCCTCCTCCTCCTCCTCCTCCTCCTCTCCTCCTCCTCCTCCTCCTCCTCCTCCTCCTCCTCCTCCTCCTCCTCCTCCTCCTCCTCCTAGGATTCCCATCCAGATGGATGGACAGGCGTGGGATTCCGCTCCTCGTGCCTGAGCCTAGCACCTCCATCCCTGCTCATGGACATGCGTTTGCATCCTGCCCTCGAACCCTAGAACCCTAGAGCCATAGAACCCTAGAACCCTAGAACCCTAAACCCCTAAAGCCCTAAACCCCTAGATCCCTAGAACCCCAAAACCCTAGAACCTTAGAAACCTAACCCGAACTTTCTAAACATGGTGGCGGATGCGCTGGGCGTGGAAAAAATTGGTCTGCCTCAGTGGCCGCGAGATGGCCAATCTGCCGGTGCGGGCGCGGCACACCTCCGACAACCACTCCGCGCCGCGCGTGAGCATGAATCTGGCAGAATCGCCATCATCAGAATCAGCATCAGAATCGCCATCACCATCATCATCATCATCATCATCATCATCATCATCATCATCATCATCATCGTCATCATCATCATCATCAGCATCAGCATCATCATCATCATCATCATCATCATCATCATCATCATCATCATCATCATCATCACCCCACCACCACCACCACCACCACCACCATCATCATCATCATCATCATCATCACCATCATCACCATCATCATCATCATCATCATCATCATCATCATCATCATCATCATCATCATCATCTTCATCATCATCATCATCATCATCATCATCATCATCGTCAGCATCATCATCATCAGCAGCATCATCATCAGCATCAGCAGCATCATCATCAGCAGCATCAGCAGCATCATCATAATCCTCCTCCTCATCATCATCAGCAGCATCAGCATCAGCATCATCAGCATTATCAGCATCAGCAGCAGCAGCATCAGCATCACCATCATCAGCAGCGTCATCATCAGCATCATCAGCATCAGCACCATCATCATCAGCATCATCAGCATCAGCATCACTCTCTGCATCAGAATCAGCATCATCATTATCAGCCTCATCATCATAATCGTCATCATCATCACCACCATCATCACCATCAGAATCATGATCATCATCAGCAGCATCAACAGCATCATCATCAGCGTCATCATCGTCATCATAATCATAAGTTGCATCATCGTAATCCACATCAGTATCACCATGTTCGCCAACATCATCAGCAGAATCATCAACATCATCATCATCATCATCATCATCATCATCATCATCATCATCATCATCACCATAATCGTCACCATCATCATCACCATCATCGTCACCATCGTCATCTTCATCATCACCAGCATTATCATCAGCAGCAGCATCCTCATCAGCATCCGTATCTTCATCATCCCCGTCATCATAACCCTCAGCACCCATAGCATCATCAACACCATCATCAGCCTCTCAAAAGAGTTATCAGCATCATAATCATCATCAGCATCGTCAACACTATGCTAAACAGTATCATCGTCAATATCAGCCTCACCATCATCAAGAATCAGCAGCAGCATCACCATCATCACCATCATTACATGGGTTGAGAGCATCCGCATCCGCATCATCATCGTCATCCGAATCATCACCCTCACCAACAACATCATCAGCAGCAGCATATTACCATAATCCTCCATATCATCGGAATCCTCAACATGATCAGCAGCATCATATTCCCATTGCCTCCGACTCCGACTCAGCCTACTCCCCCTGCTTTCATGTCCACCTACTTTCACGTCCTCCGCACCTTCCTGATCCCACGTCCCTACCCTCCTCCCCCTCCTCATCATCGACATCAACATCGTCACCACCACCATGACCATCGTCCTTCTCTATCATCTTACCACTTGCTCACCGTCCTCTTATACAAGATATGCAAGATAAGAGGCAGAGAAAATCGAGGTTCCTGTTCCTCTCCGACGTATCCAGCGAGGTTCTGGGGCTTGGGCATGAATGGCAGGCTGCGGCTGACCTCGGGAAGAGGATCGGCAGAAGCGTCAGGAGGGATTGGGGGAGGGAGAGGAAGGTTGAGAAAATTGGGTTTGCACGGATCCGACGCTGATACTGCCGTCCATCCGTGCGGGGCCCTTGGCTCTCTGGTGAGGCAAGGCCCAACTGATCTTGTGCTTGCCGCAGACGCGTTGGAGGGCCTTGCGAAGACCGCTTGGGTTCTCGGCGCAATCGCGGTAGACACGTTCGCGGTCGGCGGATGTGTCGGCGAGGAACTTGTCGCATGTCAAAACGGCACGGTCGGCTGCTACACATGCGCCCTTGCGGGCGATCTTGTCAGCAGTCTTGGGCATCGTGGTATTATCCTTCTC